AGAGAACATCTGATTCATTGGTTACGTGAGACTCCCTTGCCCAGTAGTATAAGGGGCTCCACCCGACAGACCCAGGCAGACGGGTCGCATACATGACACCTAAGTAGGGACGGGTAGGTTGCAGGGAGGACGGCACACATAGAAAAATGCCCAATACACCGAGGTACATGCTGCTGCCCTTGGGACCTGACGATCTTAGTATTGGCATTGGCATTGGTGCCTCAGTCAAAGTCACATTCCCGCGGGCCAGCACTCCAGGTCTTGTAGTGTTCACCGGGCCGAAAGGGCCAGGAGACATCGTTAGCAGACTCGTAAATTGAACATTCCCCTGTAAGTGTGTTGTTGTCTCGTTACCATCTCGATCTTATCTCTTTACATACCAATGGCATACATCTCTTATCCCATAGCAATCGATCGTGTCTCGATAGTGGCGTTTATACTATCTGAGACCTTCTTCACGACGCCCTTGACATCACTTAGCGGGGTAGTGCCTAGGGCGTGTTCCTATTCAAGCCATGATCCCTCTACTCAGCAGTGCTCCTGGGAGCCAAGGCAGCGTTCATATAAGATAGGAAATCATCTGCTTCCATGCCAGTTCTCTCGTCAGTTTAAGCATCTTTAACTGTATCCTAATAGGCAATTCTTGCCACTGCCATTCCTTTCCACATATCTTAATCTGGTTCCCTGCGTTCTTGGGTTCCCTACAGGCATTCGCTAGAATTCTCGATCTTTACATGAAGCATTCTTTTCATCCTTTCATTCACTCACTTTTTCACGATGCAGCTTCCACGGCCAGTGTTGGCGTCCCAGCGGTACTCACAAGCGTCTGACTACCAATACGATAATCATCATGAAGGAGTTGTTACTACTGGTCGGCTGCCACTAAGCGAGTCAACCGGCAACGTTCAGACTCATAGCTTCGCCGGCCCTGCTGGTCTGTGTTATAGCCAGCTCTCAGTATCTCCGCCCATTCATTCTATACCAACTCCGCCGATACTTCCCACCCAAACCCTGGCCTCGAGCTATGGCACTAGCCTCCGGGGTGAACGCTCTTTACATCGACATGTATCTTTACAAGACCTACCAATGGGTAACTCACGGGGCAGGAAGAACCCCATATATCACCACAAAAACTTTGCAGACTACAGAAACAAGGTGATGCAAAAAGAACTTGACAAGGAGCAACCTGTATGGCCGGACTGGTTGGAGGACGCTTTCCTTGATGGTATGTCTCCCCCAAACGAATTCTGTCGACGACGAGAGTCATACGGTATTAACCCTCTACCTTAGCGCTTCTCCTAATTCCTCAGTTGGGTCGGAAGAAATTTAGCTCAAAGACAATTCTGTACGGCCGGAATATGCTGATTACGGAATATCTTTGGATCTATCACTGGACACTTCATCCACCGAAGAATGGCGAACGGATTCCATGCGGCAAGCAGAGGGAGAAGACTAAACAAAACCCGGGGCACCCCATGTTTAGGTCGCGAAAACAAGTGTCTAGCCACATACAGGTTTTGAAAGGGTTCTTCCCTACCCTGTCAACATGTAAGTACATTCGGCAGCTTGGCGAGTCACCCCATGCTAACCACTCGGCATAGTCCACTTCATTTTCCCCAGACAGAAGGATGGACTAGATGATGACAAGAAGCTCGTGAAGGAGGAAGAAGACACGGAATCCTTCAAGAACAACCGAGTACTCATCTCTATAGCTGATGGGCGGTTACCTGACGAGCGACCAAACTATGAGTACTTCTCGCGGCTACTGAATGCCGAGAATGACGTATTCATTCGACCCAAGCAATGCTGGATCTTTGTATCCTCATCCAAGGTAACCCTCAAGGAGAAGCACATACCGTTGGAAGATGGTACCACACAAAAGCAAATCATTGGTAGCAACCCAGATGGGCTGTGCTTGACAGAGGCAGACTACCCTCACCTCAAGCTTAATGAAAGCAAGGACTACAAAGACCTACCACGCCAAGGCAACCAGCCGACTGTGCTGCTGCATGAATACACAAGGACCTTGGCACAGAAGGAGTCCTCTTCGGTGAAGGAGATTTCAAGCAGGTGGGATGTCAGATTCCCCGAGCTCCGGGAGAAGCTCACTGCTGCCCTTGACGACGCTCAACCAACTGATGAGCAGACCTCGCGATGTGTCGTTGGGCCCTGTGATACCTTCCATTTCGAAACTGTTCTGGATCTTCACTCAAGTTCCAAGTTTCCCCCTGGGTCTGATCTTAATGGCCTCGTTGAATTCACGATCAGCAAGCCTGACCTCCACAATCATAGCTGGCGATCAAGGACAAGTGTTATCAAACCTGACGAGCTATACATGTCTGACGTAGAGAACGAGTTCTGGGAGGAGAGCAGTGCTATCGACGTGATCCCATCCCATCGCGTTGGATGCACTGGAGCGGGTCGTTGTGACTGCACTGCGCGCGGAAGCCGGGACACAATTTCCATCCCATTCCCAGCCGTCAGCTGGGCCAACACTTTCATTAAACTTGCTCCGTACGTGACGGCTGAGAGGGAGAAGAGAGATCGTGAGCGCGCAACACGCTCCACGGCGAATGGCCGAGCCGAACGTGAAGCAGCCCGCATGAAAAAGGAGAACGAGGAGACATCGTCGCACCTCAAGTCGAAAGGCCCTACCCCCAAAGACCTCCTCGCCCAAGTTGCCATGTACCAAGAGATATGGTCGGCACCTCAAGGCGAAGTGGTAAACAGGGGTGGTGACGAAGATTCATCCTCGAAGCGAAGCCGTGGGAAGTGGACACGCCGCGGAGTGATCCTGTGGACATTCGTGCCCGTCCACGACAATACCGACGAGAAAGGCAAGACTACGGTGGTGCCCCCAGGAACCAACTGGCGCTTTCTTACCAAGGTCGACCCAACATCGTCATATCACCAACAGCAGGCATACGTGTCTGGGTCACAAACGGCTGTGTCACGGGACACCGTGATGAGCCCGAACCCGGGATTTGCACACCATCTCAATGCGGCAATGCATGAAAATTTCAGCGCTGCTTATGACACCGGCCCTACGCCTGCTTTCTCTGTGCCTAGTCACACTCATGCCCATAATCACCCACACTTACACATCAACACAGGCCTGGGCGACATGCTCGATGGCTTTTCGAACGGACTTGCCACCCCGCCTCCTACGGCTACTCTGTCGAGCAACTTTCCTCACAACTTCCACGACAACGCCACAAACATCGACTCGGGCCACACACTGCACCATCACCTGAGCTTCATGTCCGACGGAACAAGCGGCACAAGCACATCGGACCACACCAGAGCTAGTCTCCTCGCCAGCAGCGGTGCGAACCCCCCCGATTCCTTCCTATCTAGTCTCGAAGTAGCCGACTACATGCCCGACTTCCACACATCCACGGCGCACCAACTCAACGACCTAACAACCCGCTACATGGACCACGGCCACGGCGCACCCGACGTCGCCGGAGTCGGCTGGGCCGACACAAGCGCCCTCCAGCCCTCAAGCACAATGGAACCCCAATGGGCCGCCATCGCCGCCTCCGCCGCCGGCGCCCACCCCTGCGGCCCCACAGACCTCGCCGCGCACAGCGATCTCCACGACGCCTGGACGTCCTGGCCCTCCGGCGCGCTCACGCACATGTCCTCCGACTACAGCCGGCGGACATCCGGGAGCCTCTTCGAAGAGGGGCTCGGCGACCTCGCCGACGGCGAGTTCACCCTCGGCGGCAGCGGCGGCACGGGGCTGACGCCGCTGCGCAACCACGCGCAGCAGTTGGGCAGCGGACACATCCCGGCGTTGCTCTCGCACCCGTCGCCGACGCTGGCGGGGCGCAAGAGGTCGCGCACGGAGAGCGTGGGGCTCGATGAGGATGGGGATGATGATAGTGTTGGATACCCCGTGCACTCGATCCGCAAGCTCGCGCACCACCCGGCGCCCGGCTCGGCTGCGGCCGCGTTTGCGCCGAGGGGGGCCGGCGAAGGGGTGCCTGCGGCGGTTATGGATGAGGGGTCAGGATATTTGTGAGGGGTGAGATTGTTGAGACAGGTCGGCGCGACTGTTCCACAACGCGGTTTCTCTTTCCTGCCCTTGGGGTGTTTTAATGGTTTATTACTCATCGCTCACTACTCTGCTGGAGGTCTCACCCCGCTCTTTTCTAATGTCTTGCAGCGTAATTGCTATTTAATGGGTCTTGGGCGGGTATGTTTCATCTTTCGTCACGACATCCCAAACCTGGGGTTGTTTCTCTTCCTTTTTGTTGGTTTAAGGAGTTGGTTGGTTTGGTCTTGGCGCTGGTGTTGGAAAGGGGAAGCGGCGGAGTCTTAGGAGTGTGTCTTTGGGTTTTGCCTCGCGGTGGAGAGGATACACATAGGAACACTGGCGCCGACCAGCTGGATAATACTGTTATTTGTCTGGCGCTGGGAGGCGATTTGGATTGATTGATTGCGTTACTGCAACACGAACACGTTCGCGTTTTGAGATAGTTTCTATAATATCAGAATGATAGGCCTTGGTCATGTTAAATGAGTCCCCAGAGCCAATTCCCCTGTGATGTCATTCCTTTGTGAGGTAAGTCAGTATTGATTCACTTACCCGTCGGTCACTTGCAGTAGTCCCAGACCTGAGACTATTCAACACTCTACTCCCTTTTGCAGTTCCCTCTTAGTCCACATATATTTCGTTGCAGACAAGGTATCACTCGCGTCTTAATTGGATTCACATGAAACCAATTAAACGCACGCGTAAAGTAGGTAGATGACTTCGCGTCGCGTTACATTGGAATTCTGTAAGACCATCAATTTACTATCATTTAATAGGCTGTATGTATGTATGCATGTAAGTAAGCTTATCTAGATACCGACATCTCGATATGCAAGGGCAACCCCTGTACCCCTACTACTAGGGTTTAAACTCACACTACGCGCTAGCAACGACAGGGGTAGATGCTTAATTAGATGCTTAATCTAGTCTAATTAATATTTACTTTTGGCACAGTAATTGAACCCGACCCGATTTGAACGGATGATTCTGGATACTGCTTCCATGGAGCTGGAATCAGATGCTCTACCACTGAGCTACGGGTCATGCTGTTGTTGGATGCTGGTGACGGAAAACGGTGTGAATCGGTATAGGAGGTCGATCGCATGAGGGCGCATTTGTTATACATCCGGGAAGGAGACGAAGAACTTTTGAGCAAATAGCCTATTGTCGCCCGCCCGCCGCGACCGTGGAAATACCTGTGTATACTTGATGGAGAGTGGAAGAGTCGCATTGCTAATGTTGTTGTAGGAAGGACTAGATTACCGTGCTGGAGGTAATCATTAAATCGTGATAGTAGAACGTCTTGATTTATCTACATAGATCACGTGGCTTCGAATGCCGAAGAAAGATATATGCTGAGTAATCTAGTGGGTGTAGTTGACCGCGAGCATCGCTATCTGAGCACTACCATATTGTCCCCATCCTTCTCACCAAACAAGCAGCTAGCAGCAAGCCGAACCTAGGCAGCTATTGGGCACGTACCGTTGCTTAATAAAGCATAGATGGTAGTCGAATGTGCTTCTGCCTTCTCGCTAAGTAGTTAGAAGAAGTGGAAGCAACCTAGTACTCCAGCTAGCTATTTTGTGTTCTAGTATCCTTGATGTCCTGGATATCTATACTGCTGCATGATGAGAACGATGATGGGGACTACTAGCTGCAAATGTAGAATGAATAAGTATCAACGAACACCCTGCCCCCTTCTCCATCATCTAAACCCTTTACGACGGCCTCGCATACTGCAATGACTCTAAGTCCCTCTTCGCCAGTACAGCCTAACCCATTCTCGATGGAGACCTTGCCTCAGATGACGGCGATAAAGTAGTCGAGCTAGCGATCAAAGGGAATACGAGGGTCATCATCCAATTCTACATGCTAGACATTGAGCTAGGGTTCCCAGCTTCGAGCCTCATCCCCGCATGTCTAGAGCGTATATCCGGAACCCATTGGTGCCGAATATACGATAACCATCAACGGGCTCTCCTTGCGAATGTCCCTTGATCTCGACCTCGCCTTTATTGTTTCCTCCCGGGTAGCCAGATCACGGCCGCCTTGGCCGGGGCAACATCGCATTCTCACCAGTGCCCGTCTCAAACGATCAGACTCGGCAAATACGACATCGACCTCGTCCGCCAGCTCCAGCGTCACGGGCACGTGGTGAGCGTTTGGCGTGCACACGATCACAGCTTCTACGGCCAAGCGATCGGCAGCGGAGAGCATCTTAGCGACGCTCAGGGAGCAGGGTACGCTTGGGATATCTGGACGGCGAGGTTAGGAGCGCTCGGCGCGCCGTCGACAAGGGCCACGAGGGGTTGGCGAGAACGTGGGCGGTATGCCGGCGGCCCATGAGGCCTCCGAAGCCGAGTATGGCGATACTGACTGGGTCCGAACCCCGGGTTGCGGTGTTAGGGTAGACGACATGGTGTAACTTGTGTGTGCGACTCGTTTCGCTGTCCTGTGTGCGCCTGCCTGTGTATTGCTTTGGACGCTTCAAGATGTGGTAGTATTGACCATTCAGAGAGTGGGAGGGGATCCCCTCAATCTAGTTGCCATTTACTATTGAGCCTTGAGCGACACCGGAATATGTCTTGGGATCTTCGCGGATCGGGCGGAGATGGAGAGGGCCGGAAGAAAGCATATCCAGACGGCGCGGTCCGTCTGCGATGCCTCCGTATATATGCATCTTTCCAAACCCAAAAAATCTGGGAAGATGCCATTAGCTATTTAATCCCGCCTCGCTCTGGCAGTTGCGAACTATATATAATTTCCTAAGCCCTTATGTCATTGATTTTAGAATAACATGTTAACGCACGCTCGTCTGCAAATAGTGCTATACGTGCTAAACCGTAAAACAACTAATAATAAAGGAAATAGAAAGATAAGAGCCTCCTATACGGCGTATCGCTGAAATCGACGGCTCGATTAGATTCTAAAGTGGTAGCTAATAGGGCTTAGCGTGATCGCTGGGATGAATGATCGTCCGGGGGTGGCTTCATGGTGGCAGATGAACAAGGAATAAATATCGAAGGGCCAAGGGCGATCATCAGTACTCTGAAACCACAAACGTCACGACTGTGGAGGGTGGAGGGTAGGTAGAAGTCGATGACGGCGATGGGTTAGACACGGGGTTCATTTTGCGCAATTATTCTTGTTCGGCTCATTATTTGAAGCAGAAGCGAAATGAATTGTCGGCAAGAAATAAGGCCCGGTCTTATGTTGGGGGTTAAGTACCTAGGGAATGGCCTGGTGAGATTGCCTGGGCGGCAGCTGACGGCCGGGTCCAGCTGCCCACTACGCGCGCGTTAGCCGCTCGCTTCTCGGACCTATCTAAAGCCAGGACGAGGTCAAATTCAATGTCGCTTCGGATGCAACCGACGTCGCTAATCGCATGAACGCGATCTTAGCGAGCTATCTTACAGAGATAATGTATAATATTGATAATAAAAGATGGACCTATAAGTGTTTGCACTAGATGCACAAAATAGAGAAGATCAAACGAACATGTTTTGCATAGGTTACCCGTACCTAACTACCTAGATGCTCCCTGTCAATGAATAGCCTAAATCGCTTCTATCTTAAAGTGGTAAAACAGCCCACCTTGCACAGTCGCCTGATAGAGCAGAAAGGACTGCTAGGGAATCTCAGACATGAAAGTGAAAGAGGGTGGCAAACACCCAAGGGATGTCTAGGACACCCTCAAGAAAGAGCTACTTAATGCGAGAAAATGATCCATGATCCGTCCTTGGTATACCTCTGCACGATTACCAGGGATTGCTAGTTTTTGAATGTGAGCATGAATAAGGGAACAAAGGTAGGAAAATAAGAAGCGCTGTCTCTTGTTAAAATAAAAATTGACGCTGCGGTGGAGCATGAGCGTTGTTAGACCCATATTTTTGATTTGGCGTAGACGCGCGCATCTTCACACAATTTCCACTGTCCAGGCCAAGATGACCGACCGACTGATTTCTAACAAGAGCTCTGAAAAGTGAGTCGTTTGATAATAGAAGAGGGCCTTGAAATGTGGCCCTAGAGATAGCCGCCACAGGTTGGATGGGCTTCTAGTACATTTATGCGGCCTCGTTCATTTGAGTTGGTTACAAAACGCAAATACTACAGAGATTGGTTGGCGGAGAACATGCCGAAGAGATTTGGGCGGAGACTTGGGCGCAACGAGAAGCCAGAAGTAGGACACCTAGATAGGTACCTACAGTACTTACCGGCTACAGGTATAGGTAAGTGGGGTGCTTGGGGAGGTACCTCCAACGAAAGGCTAAATGTAGAAGCCATGCAGGTACAGGCATCGATGGAAGGTACAGTTAAGTACCAAATCTGGGTAAGGCATCAAAATATTAACTTAATCACAATAAAAGTTACACACAAGTTACACATTCTATAGCGGATGGGCCCGTGCGCTTGTAGTGTATGCACAGCACTATAAGTATACCTACTTGATCTACCCGCGCGGAGCCCCTGATGACCCCTGCAAGCAGTTGCACCTTGGAGTCGCGGTGGCCAATCAGCATCTCATTAAGGCTGAATTTGGGTTGGTCTCGGCTCTGCATCCTTGCACAGCAAACCATGTACCGTTAAACCTACTCAACCTCACGATACCCAAACAGCTCCAAGCGCTGGCGCGTATACCATACCAAACCATCTTCCTCAAACAGCCCACTTCAATAGAAGAAATATTTTTGGCCTGTCGTGTATCTGACAGTCCCGAATACTCTGGTAAACAGCATCGCATCATGCCCCACATCATTCCTTTCCAGGAAACAATCCCGGTCAAAGACCACGGAAGTGATAATATTTGCCTGGGGCCCTCTTCGAAAATTGAACCTGATAGCAACGAGACCCGCAACGCACAGCGTCACGAGTCTGATTCCACATAGCCCAACTGTGTAAGACTAGAGGTAGGGCTACTTTTGACCTTCTGTTAGCACCTCTGCGCCTCTGCGCCTCGGAATTTGTCATTTCCTTGTTCCGAAAGCCCACAGGGAGGAAAAGCCTAGCTTCACGTTGACCGTAGCCAGACCAGACCCATGCAACAGCAAGAGAAGAGATAGAGGCTACAATAATAAGAAGGCGGCTCACCGCAACCACATTCCGCTCCCGTGTCCATGATTGATCGCCAAGCTCCTGCAGTAGGTAGTTCGTCGCCCTTCACTTGTTACCGCAATACTACCTCTTGGCATCTTATATTCTACGCATTATCTACCTTTCTTTTCTCACCACACATATTCTTACATGTGCATACGTACAGGATACAAAGCACAGCGCACATAAACACTTCTTTTTCTTTTGGAACTCCTGCGACCATTGTCTCCGGCGCCGGCGCCCTCGATTTAGCGCAAGGCAAACAAGTGGCTTAGTTGATTACCCGTTGTTTCTCAACTAAGAGGTTCTATCTATTGTTTAGCACGTTTTGCTATGCGAGTCTAGACCGGCACAAAGAACTCGGTTTTTCTTATTTCCAGACTTACTCAGAGAAACATCTGTTTACAAACATCTTCGGTCACTTCTCTCATATTATTTACCCCATTTTTGACTACAAACTTTAATTATTTCTCCTCTTTTCTTCTTCACTCCTCTTTTTCTGAACACCGCACGCTCCCACAACCCCTCAACAACCTATCTACTCAGGAACTCAACACTGACGGTTACGCATGCGGTACTAAGTTACACTACCCTATCTTCTCTTTCCCTTCTCCTCGGTCTCGCTGGCGAGACCACGAACCGACTTCCACTTTTTACTACACCAAAATCCTGTATTTTACGAAGATGCGTCTAAAGGGCGTCAATGTCGCCGCCATCTCGCTGCTGGCTGCAGCACCAACCGTTAATGCCCACACCTGGGTTGAATTTCTCTACCACATCGGCTCCAGTGGGACCTTTACCGGACAGCCAGGTTACCCTATCGGCTACCTTCCCCGAAGTCAAGGAATAACCGATGAGCAGCACCAGACCAAGATACTAGACACCTCGACGAACCCGGCTGTCTGCAAGCCGCTGTCATCAAGCAACACTGCCCAGTACCCCCCTCTTCAAGC